AAAATACTTTATATGATATTTGTGTTTAAAGTTTTATTTTGTTCGTTCACTTACAAAATAAAACTACTTTTAACACACATATCATAAATAGTTATTATTATTATATAATTTGACCCCTATTATAAATACTCATAAACGAAAGTTTTTGTAAGAACAAAATTATTAGATCGATCTTGTTATTTATCAAATCAAGTTAAATGTTTCAAAATATTATGATGCTGAATAGAATAACTGGTCCGTCATATTGCAAAAATTACAAAAATAAAATTTCCAACAGCGTTATCATTTTTTTCACCCTGTTTTTAGTAATTAATTTGATTCAACTTATATTAACACAAGGCAAAGACAAGATAATACAGACACAACAAAAATAAAAATCAACAAAAGTTCCGTGGGTGTTTATACAAGTCAACGATTCATTTGAGGAGTTTATTTGTAGGCTACAAACATCGGTGTGTACATTTACCAGAGATTAACTTCTTAATTTCTTCGGTTCTATTTTTACTTCTCGAATATACACTGCTATATTTTATTCAGATGTATAATGAAAGTGTAAGATGAAAATAGGTCGAGTAGATGAATTGAAATGAAATGTTTTAAAAAAAATGAACCTGTTGCCGAAATCGTTTCATAAATTATTTTTCATATTACCTATAAATATTACTGGAGTTTTTTCCCAAGAAACATCAAACTGTTTGATCTCCCTCTTAAAGATGATCACTTGGTGTCTCGGCTGTCAAACTGCTAAGTATTTTCACTAGATCATTTCCGTTGTTGTTTGTTGGTGGTTGTCTTGTTGGGGCTTTTTTAGCCGATTGCTGTTGTGGCTTCGGCGTCGGTCTTTCCGCCTCTCTGGGTCTGTTCCACACTGATGTTCTCTGCCTCGGGAACATCTTGCAGCCTCTGTAACTTGCCGGATGCGCCTCCATACAGGTCGCGCATTTGGCCAGCGTGTCTACTGTTTTTTTACACTTCCTGGTATTGTGGTTCTCTCCACACTTGACGCAGCGTGCCGTCGAATGGCAACATTTCTGCTAATGGCCGAAGAACTGGCATCGATGACATTGGGATACCAGTCCCTTATTAATTCTTTGGGGCTCTGCCCGTACTATTAAAGTTTACGCATGTTCTTAGCGCAAAAATATTTTCTTCGCTTTTTGGTACTTTCACCAAAAACAGTGGCAGTACCTTCCTATATCTTCTTGAGGTCATCCTGTGACACTCTATTGCAGGAAACCCTTGCTTTGTCAGATCGCTGGCGACGTCTGCGGGTTGCGGAATTCTTTCAGAGTATTTCATTCCTCTTCCGAAGTTGGAGCGAACATCACAAAGTGTCACTCCATCTAGTGGACGAGGTACTAACCAACTGCACACCCGTAATTTGCCCGATTCCTCTGAATAAGGAAGAAAAACTTTCTTATTAGTCAGTGGGCTATGCTCGAAGACTGGCAATAAACAAATCTAAAGAAAATGAACTTCAAACATTCAAGCCAGTCTCGATATACCTACACACTAGGTTTAATGGACTGACCCCTATCAGAAAACAACTATTCCCTTGGCTAATACCACGAAGGGCGTTGAATTATACCCGACACGCGTCAGTGCAGGAATCTTCACAGAAAATTTCCTGCATATGCAATTGGCAATACAACTGAAAAAGTCGACCTTCAATTCAGGAACGGGCACACTTGCAGACCGGTTTCGGGCTTATTAGCCACTCATCAGTGCAAGATAGTGACCATCATCGACCTAAAGTCAATGATATTCTAGAACTTCAAGTTGGCTACCCTTTTGACGGCCATTTTGTCAGCTGTTAAATGATTTATGTTTAGTCTGTTCCAAATTGTGCAAATTTATTTTGAAAATCATGGTTCTGTTCGAAATACGTATTGCGCAATACCTCCATTTTACAGTCAACATAATCATCGATTAGAGCAATTAATTCGATCAACTATGGAAAGTTTTCGAACCAAATTTACTCTAAATGATATTACGCATCCACAGTGCGTACAGAAGAAGTCATTGCTGCTGTAGAGCGTAGCGTAGAGGAAGAACCGAATCAGTCTGAAACGATATTGATTAGAACGTTATAGTCGATGGTGACCACCATAGAGCCGTGATTACTGACTTTTTCGTTCATCAATTGAACAACTATGATGTGCAGGAGCTGTGGTTTCAACAAGACGTCGCAACATGTCACATAGCTCGCGCCACAATTGATTTATGGAAAGGAACGTTTGGTAACCGCATAGTTTCACGTTTGGGACCCGTGAAGTTGCCTCCAAGATCGTGGGATTTAACACCTCTAGACTATTTTCTGTGGGGATATGTTAAGTCGCTAGTCTACGCCGATAAACCCGAAACAAATGACCTCTTGGAGGACAACATTCGCCGCGTTATTGCCGATATACTGCCACAAATGTTGAAAAAAGTCATCGAAAATTGGACCCTCAGATTAGCCAGCAATGGCGATCATATGATCATATTTAAATTATAATGCCAGAAAATTATCTTTCGAATAAATTGAATTCCATGACAATTTAAAAATTCATCTTTGTTTAATTCCACTTCAGAGTTCTATACCTCTATAAAAAATATCATATTCCTATAGCTTTAGCGAAGTAGAAAGTGCAGAAGTGTTTTTATTAACATCAATCTTAGGACTGATCTATTTTTCTTTCAACCAACTACTTTACCCAAGTTTATTTGTTTTTTTCATTGTTACTCACAGATTCCTAATCAATAAATTAAGTTGTGCAATTTCCCACTTATTATTTTCTGGGAATATATTTCAATATTGTTAGTTTTCAATTTCAACACTTCCATATATTTTCCATGTTTGTCAATGCAGAAAATTTATGTGAGAGGTAAGTTAGGTTCTCACCTAACACTATTTTTTTTAAATGTATGAGCACTTTCTGGTTGTTGTTTTTTATTCTTTCAACGAGATATTAGTTTTTGATTTTGGATATGAACATACAGTAATTGTGTTTCTATTGTTATGGAACCGTAGACTAAATTCTTTGACGACGATCAACTATTAATCTACCTCAAACTTCTTTCTTTCAAAATAAAATTACAGGCAACGAAAAAGCTGATGATGAAGAGTTTCCTTTTTAATAAAAGAACGTATCCATCTCGTACATCTTCCTTGAAAAAGCTGATGATATAAAGTTCTCGTTTTTGGTAAAATAATTTATTAATCTCAAACTATTTTCTTGAGTAATGGAATAATTTTCTGAATCGATAGTTCTCGTTCGTAAATACTCCCAAATAAATTCATAAATACACCTTGGAAATGTTAACAAGAAAAACCACTCAGCAATTCCGTTGATTTGTTCAATTGAATGAATTATGCAATCGAAGTTATCATATTTAGATTAGAAAATTGCAATTCTATTTTAGGATCCCAGGTCGTATTTACTAGGAAACATATAATTTCGTTGGAGAAATTGATAGTCAAAACGAATTGAAATACTGATGCCTGAATACAGTATTAACGTACACAATTAATTAGATACGCTCTCGAATTATCTCGATGTATCAAACCCCCAATGTGGTATTTGTCAAAGTTTAAATACATTTTGATTTCGATTCAATACATTGAAATTTTGATTTCAATAATTTCAATAGTTAAAATTTCGAATCTAGTTCTGGTATAAATAATTTTTTAAATTACCAATGAAATCGAAATTAACTTGTTCCGCACATGTTCAAAAAACAAAATAATGAAATTACCGAATCTTCATTAAAAAGAGCACCCAATTCAGCTTTCAAGAATGGTAAATTGCAAAGATACATTACGGGTACCTATAATTACTATGTACTTTCATGAACTCTTTTTATTTGTAGGTACCGAAGCGTTCATTATTCCAGATGAGCTGCCATCTATATTGTCTGTTATTTACTCCAACATACCAACAATCAAGAAAGGTGAGTCGACTCTAGATGTAATATTTATAAGTCATTAAAATTGAATTTAGATAGAGTTAGAAAACGTGTTTGACTGTATGTGAAAAATGAAACCACTGACATTCGACGCCATAAACTTGGTTTAAGTCATCAGTTTATAACATTACTCATTTTTTGATAAATTTTGGTCACTACAAAATTAATTCTAGCAAGAAGTTGAAACAACCGTTTTAAAGAGACATATTTGTATACTTATTTCTTCATGATTTTAGGTACTGATTCTAGGTTAGGATGGGGGTTTCGACTAGGCGACCGAGCAGATTTTCAAGTGATGGTCGAATTAGGTCCTCAGACTAACACTCAGCCTCTGGCTAATCAAGGAGAGGAAAATAATCGAAAAAGGAATACTCTGGAAAACTTAGCGGAAACATTATATGCCCAAAGAGAACTTGAGAAGCAACTTCTAAAAACGAAACCGCCGAAAAAAGTTTGTATAGTTTAAATTTTTTGTTTCATCATTTAATGCTCTCATTCTTCAACATCATCATTAAAAAACCGCAAATATTGACAATAAATCTTATTTTGTATTGAAATTACCTTCAAATAACAAATGTGCTTTTTGTGGGTCTTCGCCAATTCAATTCTTCAATGAATAAATAATGCCGTTCTATTTGTGAATTGCTGTCTAAAGACATAAATTTGTGCGACGTTCAATGGATTCGATATGTTTGCCACCCATATCTTTTGGATTATCTTCAAATTCTGTGATGCATTGCCTCACGTTTGCATAAAACATGACGAGCTGTCTCTACCCTTTTGCGGCATTTTCTTCAGCTAAAGTATCCATTATAAACCCTTTCTTATCCAGGCATTTCACGGCATTTCCACGCCAGCGTGAATGACTCACTTGGGTTCATCAATGGTTCCACCTAGAAGAAGGGTGTATGTTATCCGAGCAGGTAGCAATAATATAAATTTCTATCCACAAAGAAAATTGCAGCTCCTGGACCATGTTCGGGTTTCGACTCGTCTACATTCCATGTTCTTCTACCACTTTTTAGGCCACCGCAAACTGATTACCAAAAACTTAAATGAAATTAATTGATAATGCACAAGACATGATGGTATATTTGTCTCGAATACTACTCCACATACCAGTCGAATAGGAGACAATTGATTTCTAGAACTGCCGTTATTACTATCAGTATCAATTTCACCCTTTTGCAGAAATCTAGTTCCGATGACAACGCAGCTGGATGGCTCAAATCATGGAGCAAATCTGTAGGTAGAGGCACTTCTAAGGATGAATCTTCACTTTTAAAAGCACGTCCTGGCTTGGCAATTGGAGAAATCGACGCTAAATCTGTAATACCTGAAGACAGTGAAGAAGACAGCATATTTCAAGAAAAAACAAAAAATTTCGTTAAGACGATGACTTCAACCGAGAAGTCAACGACATCAAAAGAGGATGCTTTGGATAACGTAGATTTAGACTAACTAACTTGATATTTAATTACTGTTGTTGAATGATTTAAAGTTTATAATTATGTGATGGATGAATCAAGTTATTTATTTTGCTCAATATTTAAGGAATTTATAAAGTGTAGATGAAATATAGAACTATTTTAATAAAATTATATTCTAAAACAAAATATGTTACTTTCTATTTTCACCAAAATTTGTAATCCGTATCTTAATAGTATTAGGTAATTTGTATGATTTGTTATAACACGTTTTTGCTAAATTTGTGGTCACTGTTAGCCACAACAGAAAGTTTTTACGTTAATGCTCTGGAACTCGAATGAACCCTTGAATTACTATTGTGACGAAAAATATTTCTTTCCTCTAGTGTATTGTGTATTTGACTAGTGTCAAATACACAATACTTATACTAAAACGATAATCTTTAACCTATTACGTGAATTCCATGACAATTTAAAAATTCATCTTTGTTTAATTCCACTTCAGAGTTCTATACCTCTATAAAAAATATCATATTCCTATAGCTTTAGCGAAGTAGAAAGTGCAGAAGTGTTTTTATTAACATCAATCTTAGGACTGATCTATTTTTCTTTCAACCAACTACTTTACCCAAGTTTATTTGTTTTTTTCATTGTTACTCACAGATTCCTAATCAATAAATTAAGTTGTGCAATTTCCCACTTATTATTTTCTGGGAATATATTTCAATATTGTTAGTTTTCAATTTCAACACTTCCATATATTTTCCATGTTTGTCAATGCAGAAAATTTATGTGAGAGGTAAGTTAGGTTCTCACCTAACACTATTTTTTTTAAATGTATGAGCACTTTCTGGTTGTTGTTTTTTATTCTTTCAACGAGATATTAGTTTTTGATTTTGGATATGAACATACAGTAATTGTGTTTCTATTGTTATGGAACCGTAGACTAAATTCTTTGACGACGATCTCATTATTTCAAGGTTCTCTCTCTGTGAAAGAAAGAAAATCCAATGTACCCAATCCTACCTTTCATGAGAGACCTAACTGAGACAAGCGAAGAATTCCAAAACTGTGTAGATGAAAAATACAACTCAAAAATAGGTTAAATTTCTTGAATTGATATTATATTCAGATCTGATATGAAACTATTAAATAGAAAAGTAATGCGTAAATACCATGTCTGCTGATCATAGGCAGTAATAGTACATCTCAGTCTAACCTACAACTCATCCTTTTTTTGAAGACATTGCACATTGTTAAAATTCTTCCGAAAGATGAGTGGGACAAATATAGGAAATGCTTCTATAAAGCTATGCAAACATATTTTGTCGTTAGTAGGGGTGCGACAGATAGTAAACGGAAAAACAGATTTTTTTAAACAGATTTAGAAAATTAACAGAAGAAATACTTTTTGAAAACAAGGTTTATTCACATACTCTCCAAAGAAGAAAATCAAGTTACACCCATCAATTCATTACTTACACATTTTATATGATATTAAAGCTCGTCGCGAGATCTACCTATTTTATGAAGAAATATTTTTTTCTTAGAATTACTGAAACCAAGATCAGGTTCCAAATTGTATTTTTATAATTTGTGTAACGTAATAAATGATGGGTTTCATTTGATTCAATATCTATTTTCTTCTTTTGAGAGCTTTCAAATGAAAGCTTGTTTTCGAAAACGTGTTTTACTATTAGTTTATTTATTTCATTTTTGCTAAACATGTTCCTTTGTCTAATAATTTCCTTTTATGTGTCATTGTTGTATGGTTGATTCTTACATTTGTGCCACCACTAACTTGGCTAAAATTTCTATGACGACCATCTTGTTTTCCATCATTTCGAATTTTTCTTCTTGAACCCTTCCATTTGATGTCGCCATCACGGGTCTCAATGAAAATACAGTCCTTCATCTCTAAAGTCCGTCATATTTCTCGTATGATTTTTAGCAAACCCTTACATTTGATAATCCTTTCATGGAAGTGCATGAATAATAGATACATTTTCCACCATCTTGGGCGTTTCGCTATATTGGATGTTTGACGTCATTCTGCTAACCTTGAATGTTCATCTAAAGTAAACGTATGAAAAATTAACAGTTCAATCGAATGAAGATAACTCTTTAAAATTCAGTTGCAAGAGATGACAAGTATACCCACTGACTATATGTGAAAAGTTTTTTTCCTTATACGAGGAATTGTGCAAATTCGTATATGCGGTTGGTTACCTCGTTCATAGGCAGATGGGGCGATGACAAACCTGTTGTTTGTTGTCCGCTTCAGCCTAGTTCGAGGAATGATACTCTGAAGGAAGACGATTTTCAATTATCGGAAATCATAGACTTTATGTTGATTATAGACACTACCTTGCACTGACGATATACTGCATTGCCTTTTCACACAAAATATAAAAACTGTTTCAAAATACATTCCTTTAACTCCCAGGCAACATCAAATTGGGATTTACAGCAGGATTGATTCATAGTCCATAGGAGACAGATCAGGGGAACGTGCTGGCCAAAGGTAGGCAATCTTACTTTATTCTTCATCAGTTTGCATACAATCAAAAAACTCACTGAATAGAAGAAGAAAACCTAGATTTTTTAAATTCGAAATTCAAATTAAAAACATAGGTGTATCCATATCTTAGGGACAAGTGAAATCATGTAACCTTTCTTTAAATTAGACGAGTATCTATAACTTTTTTATGGTTATCCAATTTAAATCCAACATAGATTGGACATGGAATGTATAAGTACAGAATATATGTGAGAGAAATTATAATATTTTAACTTCTTGAAGTCTATTTAAATACTAGTTCTTTAATGCAGCTTTTTATGAATTTTGCACCACCCTGTATGATATTGTCATATACCTGCAGTATTTTGATATAACAAAACCCTACGTAAACATTTTCTATTTCACTTTGGAGTTCGGCAAGTCGCAATATCCGTCTCTTTCGATTAGTGACGAAAATAACCGAGCTATATAAATTCATTCAATCTATCTTGACATCTACAGAATTTCATTCGATTTTGTGTAGATTGTTTTATTTCCATTATAAGCTTTAAGTTGGACGATTATCTGATTTCGATTCCAAATGTGTGCCTCATTATTTCTATCAAATTATTAATTCAATTCATACTTTATGAATCCATTAAAACTATCCAAAATATTCAAAAGTATAGCTTGACATGTACCAACGTACTGGGAATGAAGTGCCATGAGCATTCAGAAATATTCAATATGGCGAGATCTGTTTTCGTGGAGTGTTGTGTCCGTGTCTCGTGAGCAAGACGATTTGAGGTAGTTTGTGTGTTTTTATTGGTTTTTATTAGAGAAGTCTGCAAAAACAGGCATTGCAAAGGTTAGTATTAGTCACGTGTTATAGTTTACCATAATGTTTTATCACAAGATTGGCAATTAAATAACTAAGGAAAGGAGAAAAATCAATTTCAATTAGGATTAGGTTTATGATAAATTCAAATATAGGTACATTAATCACTATAGGAATTGAAATAACAGTTGAACACGTGAGTTTTCTTACAATCAATTCCTTTCATCTCAACTACATTGTCATTAAAATTGTATTTCTTATTGTGAGTGTTATTATCAGTTGATTCAAATTTTAACCGTTTAATTATATTATTTTGGTTATTATTAAAAATTAGTGCAATATCCAGTCTACTTGCGGACAGTTGTTAGACTAAACAAAGAACCCTTCTGTGTTCTGAAAATGTTTACATTCAGGAAAAATCAATAGTGAATAGGGGGCCCAATGGCCCTACCTTAGTATCGCATGTTCATATTTTCCCAAGGGTGATTACAAAATTTTGTTTTGTTTTACATAACCTGCTTCATGAAAAAATCAAAGGACATAGATATCTATCAGATACAAGAAATGAGAAAGAAGCCATAAAAGTACCTACTCGATGTAACATTGTCACTATTTTTCGGGTTCGAAGGCCGTGGATTTTTGGAATTTCTTCCTGACTTTTCGCTGCTGCGAGTGACTAGTTTCTTCAGAGGTTTATTATACAACCTGGATTAATATCCGAGCGAAACGTCAGGAAGAAATTCCAAAAATTCACGACCTTTGAACCCGAAAAATAGTGACACTGAAAACCTCGGCCACGAAAGTCTTAACTATTTTGTCGATCTGTAGATCATTCACAGAAGTTTCTCTCAGATACAAACCGCCTTAATTACAGACCTAGCACCACTGATGAGATCTACGGCGAGTAGAAACAGTGGAGTCTGATGTTGGAGCATGAAAGCTCTGATTTTCAACTAATTGAAATCAGGATTCGCTTTTTTTTATCAAATTTGTACTCCAATCATTCTTAAAGGAGAAAAGGAAATATCATATACAGAAACATTACACAACGTATTGAATAAAATGGTACTGAAAGAAAACTTCAAATTTCCGGGTGTAATTTTCTCATCTTACCGAAAAAAACACATCTACTCTTGTGACAAGAACAGTTCCTAAAAAGCATTCATTCACAACTTGTGCGAATATATGTTTGGTATTGTTTAGGAGGGATTAGTTTTCGAGCTCTCTACTTTTCCACCATTATGTAGAAAGTGGAGATTAGAATTTTTTTCATGATTATTTTATTATATGTTACGTCGAGCGTTTCTGTGTACGTCTTTGATTCCGTTAATGTTCATATATTTGAAAGTAGTTATTTCAGAACGATTTTTTCCACCAGTTTTCATCTGGATGAAACTTTTTTTCACGATCTGCATATCTTTGTTTTCTTTCTTTCTTTGGAAATTTTGATTTTTATATTATTTCCACTATTCCATATTCATGATTTCCATTTCTCATGCTGTCGTTTTCAATCTAAGCTCAATATATTAAATACAAAAGGCAAGACTAATTGTTCTTTTCTTGACGTCAGAAATACTTGTGCGGACCAAAAAATTGTTTTCGCTACTGACAGTAAAGTCTATTAAGCATGAAATCCCCCTGACTCAGCTTTTATGATGTTTCAGGTAGGTTCTCGGAAATATTCATTCCTTTTACCTGTCATCAAAGTGGAAATTGTAAAAAGTTGCCATCCAGGTCTTTACAGAATGAATTTCTCTACGTGTTTACTAGAAACTACTTCATTGTCGTACAACCACAAAACTTGAGATACCGGGGGTTATTTGCGATAAATAACCGCATCATCATAAATGT